CAGGAATGCAAAAGACATTTTCCTTGCCAAGTAAATCCTCCAGGGATTTGCAAGCAGTTATTAAATGTGGAAATCCTACTGCTTGAGCTCACAAGAAAAACAGAACAACACCGAACCTGAGATGCAGGACTTGAAGTTTAGGGGACGCCATAAACTTAGTAACGTTTGAATTGGCTAATGACTCCAGGAACAGTCTCATGAAGTTCTGTGAATAAAACAGTTATATTTTTATTTTAATAACTGATGTGGATTACAGCACCATGCTCAATGTGACATGCAAACGTTTTACTGTAGCTGTGCAGCTGTGCCATCATAACCTCAGGATATAATTAGGGGTGAGACTTAGTTTATGGTCCCTCTCTCACCGAGAGAGTGGGTCTCTGCCTCATGGAGTCCCTCGCATCAGCTCCTAGTTGAGGCAGGCTGCTGAGGAGGAGCTGGGAGAGGCAGGGATAAAGGGTGAGAGGTGGGAAGAGATGTTGTTGCAAGTGGGAAGACTGGACATGCTGGAATTGGCTCCTATCAAGAAGTTTGTCTCCTGCAACTGCTCGCTTTCTTCTTGGCGACTGTAGACTGTAGCAATCCTCTTCTCAGAGCATATCCTCCCTCTGCTCTTTTCCCTCAGCGATACATTGATGGAGGATTCACCGGCTTGCAGCCTGTTTCCAGCTTGGAGGAAGCTGTGATCACTGTGTCCCCATTCACAGGGGAGCTTGATATCTGTCCACGGGACTGTCCTGCTATCTTCTTCTGTTTCCAGATCTTTAATGGCAGCATTCAGATCTCAATAGAAAATCTGTGCAGGATCAGCTACGCTCTCTTTCCACCTAAATCCACGGTAAGCCCACCACGTCTTCTTCCTAGCTTCATTTTGGGTAAAGTAAATTAGTGCTGGACTTGCCTTCCCAAGATTTAAGTTCACCTCAATGTCCATCGCTAATTAACCAGATTACAAAGGAAGGAGCCAGGCCTTGGGGCAGTCCCCACTCTGTGTTTCATCTCATGGTGGACGCTGCAGATAGGTGACCAACCTGGGGTGGGGTTCACCCTGGTTTCACAACCTGCAAAGAACCAGTGCTTTGGTGGCTGTAAAGCAGCTTATGCTTGCTGCCTTCTCAAATGGTCAATCCAAAACTCTCCACAGCAAAACAGCTCCTGGCCTTGATTGATTCTGCCAATGCCTGGATGGAGCGCGCATTTGTGACCCCCGGTGTTTCTCCTTGCAGGTCTTGGATGACCTTTTTTTCCAAGGGTATCAGGACACTGCCCTTTTCCTGTACAGGAATGGTAAGTTTTACCCTGAGACCTAAAGGGCAGCCTAAAGTATGACCGACTCGCCCAGCAGCATTGCACAGCCAGCTGGGACACCCTTTGAGAAAGTCAGCCCTTTCTTTTTGTGTCTCATAGATGCCTTTGGCATAAACTATTTCGACGGCAATTTCCGATTTGCCAGCATGTGTGGGAAGACTGACCTGCCACAATCCAATGGGACATTGAACAGCCTAGGCAAAAGGGTACCACGGTACCTGGCACCACGCTTCCTTCCAGGTGTAGCATTTTGGGTGCTGATCTTGGGCTTTGGTAGTGGCTGGGGCCACTGAGAACTGCTGCAGGCTTGAAAGGGAGTAGTATTATATTTAAGATATTATAGACATACTTATTATATTAAATATTTCTATATCTGCTGCATGGCAGATTCCAAGAGAGCTCTAGCTGCTGCTCTCTTTCTTAGAGCCAGAAGGCCATGGGGATTATAAGGCTTTTTATTTCTTATCAACGTCACCAGTGCTTTTTGCAACCACAGGCAGTAGCCATGCCAGAGAGGTTTTGCAAGAGTGCAACAGGTTGGATCCTGGCCTGGGTTGAGCTGCAGCAAGAGCTGCTGGACAAGAGCAATGATTGCATTTATTAGGTTATTTCTCATGGCTGATCTTTCTTTACTTCTGTGTCATCACTCACGGGCACAGGCCTGGCTTGGTGGAGGAAGCAGCAGTTTGGACTGCAGGATCCGCTGTCGAAAGTCCTGCTACAACCATATAAACTCCCTGTCAAGATGTCAGCTTTTGTCAGGAAGGGGTAAGAGCATCTTGATAAAGGGATGAGAGCAGAGCCTGAGAAGGAAACCACTGGCTGTGCCTTCAGCAGTGGAGATGTGGCCATGTCCGGAGATGGGAAGAGGAGCAAGGTTGCAGGGAGATGGCCTGAGGCTAGTGCTGGGCGTGTGGGAATCTTTGCAAGCTCAGTCCTGGGGTGTGCAATGGGGTCTAGCAGCCTTCAGGGTGGCAGTTCCAATGGAAACACATAGGGCAGACTCTGGGACAGTGCAGGCTGGTGTGGAGTCCCTCTTCCACTGACAAGAGCAAGCTGACACACATCCATGTGCAAGATAGGCTTGATGGCATCCTCTTCCTCTGCAGGAAGATTTGGTATTTGCCAAAGGAAAGCTCTCTGGGAGAGCAGAATACAGTTAGCAGTACTGCTACAGAATTGTTTAGCAAGGGAAGAGAGTATTGCAGTGTGCATTTACTGCTTACACCCTCCCTCTTTTGCTGCGTTTACTGGTCATCAAACTGTGCCTGTTTATTTTGCTTTTCCAGGCTACAGAAGCTGTGGGGATTGCTGGAAGAGACCAACTCCATGATAAAACGGTTCCAGAAGCTCCTCCAAAACATGGTGCCTGGTTTGCCTAAGAGAGCTGCGGCCAGGAGGTGAGGCACTCTGGCTATTTAAAACCTCAGTGGAGGGACAGGAAGATGCAGAGCAGGGGGGCGTCCAGGGACACCCCAGGGGATCTTGCTGATAGGTCACTGCTGCTGAGCTTGGCCAAAATATTCCAAATTTGGGTACTCCAAATTAAAAGTGGCTATTTTTTTTTTCCCCAGGATGCTTTGCCATTTATTTAGTAACATGAAGCTATGAATCAGCTTAGCACTGCTTCCCTAGGGCAATGTATTCTTGTTCCAAAGCATTTATCTGTTGGGCTCCACCCTAGCAGGACATGTCAGGCACATGCACCAAGATCCTGGGAGGTGTTTTGGTGCTAAACTCCCATGGATTCAAAGCACTTAAGCTGAACATTCTGAGAGTGAGCAGCCAGACCTTGATACCAGTCAGAGCTGTTGGAGCTCTTGGGCCAGAGCTGTAATGCTGCTCCACTGAGCTTTTATCCTGCGAATCACCTGACCCATTTATGTGTAAACACACATTTTAAGCAGACTGCTTTTAGTCATGCTTCCCCAAAGCCTGCTTGCAGGTTACCTTGCATGCAGCTGACAGAGGGACTCGTACATAAAGATGTTGTAATACAGGCAGCTATTGCTATGTAATTCCCCAACCATGAAATAGTCCTTCAGTATCAAATGTCCCTGGGGTTATCTGTCCCTGTCAGCCCACTGACACCAACTCCATTGAACACCCGCTTCTTCCCTCAGGTAACCGTCACAGTGGGCCTTCGGGGTCTCTGACGCCACACAGTTCTACCATCCCAGGAAGCAGTGGATGACACTGGAGCTCATTTCATACAGCAGCATAGCTCCTGCTTTTAGGGAGTTCTTTGTGGGTTGCTTTTTCACTCAGGGAAACAGGCTGAGTTTGTTTCAAATGCTGTTGCTGCAGTCTCCCTGTCCAGGCCTGACCTGCTTTAACATGATGGCTGAGGAAAAGCACTGTAGTGCTGCATCTGCAGCCGACTGCAATCTGCACAAGGGGATCGGGCATCTTTACTTGCATGCACGCACAGCCCAGCCACTGGTTTCCTTAGCCACTCTACTTGATCACCAGTGTCCCCCACCCTGTTTTAAGGCAGATTACGTAGCATGTATTTGCCAGGAACTGTCATATTTTAAGTGTTTTCCTCCCACTCAAAAACCTTTCAGAGACATTCACTAAACAGAAAACAGAGAAAGGTCTAAGGGAGCATCACACTGGGCAGGAACTCACTCTCATTCACTTTCCTGAAAGTATTTTACCAATAGCCTTTTCATGAGCTTTGTACACCCTTGGAGGCCTGCATCTCCTGCCTGGTTGAGGCAGGTGCACTCTTGAACCCTTCTGAATTTGCAGCTGTGGAGAAGGAAGGATGTAGAAACTTAAAAATTAACATTCCCTCCCCACACTTCAAAGTTTCAGTCTTGCAGAAACCCTGTGCATCTCCCATTATGCTGGGAAAGCTGTCATTTCATGACTATATTAGCTCTCCCCATCTGATTTTCCGTAACTCATTGCTATCATCATTGTATTATCCAGGCAAACATACCTTGTGTTGCTGGTCTGTACATAAAATGAATTAGAACCACTCTCATCATCCCAAATACACAGCACATCAGATGCTGATGGATGGGCAGTACTGCCAGCCAACTCTGCCCAGCTTCCCAGTGGGCAGCCAGTGGGTCACAACAGTACAGTATTTACTTGAATAAGCAACTTGTTTATCTAATTGCACGCAGGGAAATGGCAGAGGGAAGTTTCATCCAAAGAGTCCTGGGGATCACAGGCATGAGTGTCAAATAATTGAAGGCTGCATTGATGCAGATTCAGACCTAACTATGAATGCTCAGTATAAGATAGATATAATTATGTTCTGCTGCCTCTGGTTGAAGTCAACCTGGCAATACTGTCTCTGCAATGTACACCTCTGAGCATGCTAAAAGAAACCTGGATGCTTATTTGTGTTGGCACCATCAAAACCTCTCCCTTTCTCCCTTGTGACATCCTGAATGGATTTACATCTCAACCCCTGCAGCCAAAGCTGAGGCTGCTCAAAACCACCTTGTGAGCTGTGATTATCTACATGCCACAGGTAGAAGTGGAGAGGGCAGATACCTGCTGCTCTGCAGGGAGGCCCTGGGCCTTCATTTGCTTTTGGTGATACTGCATTTCTGGTTTTCCTTCCAGGCAGGCAGCCCCATTGGTGCAATAGCATTTCCACTGGGCTTCTGGTCTCTCTAGCAAACACCACTACCTCTCAAGCAGGATATACCCATTTCAGGCAGCCTCAGGTAGCCATACACAGAATCCCTACTCAGATGGGAATTTTCAGCATCACCAAAAGAAAATTGTCTTATAGGAATTGGACCTCCAAATCCCCTAATTTTGGTGGCAAATCTCAGCCACAAACAGGAGTTTAGCTTGACCTACCCACGTATGTCTCATCTCCCCCAGGTACACGGCAGGGTGCTTGGTCATGAACAGTTAACAAAACTTCAGTCTGAGAACTTTTAACAAAAACAGCCCACAAGGAACGTCTAAAACAGCACACCCCTACAGGCTTGGAGCAGGAGGGCTCCATACCTTGTCCTTTTTCTGACATAAGTATGTACTCTTATCTAAATCAGCTGCTTTGTGCTCTATTAGCTCTCCACCTTTTCAAGCAAGCACACCTGACGTTGCTGTCGCCTCTTCTGTGAGCTTTGGAGCTAGTGGCACAAAGGAGGCTGTGTCAGAGGCAACGGATAGAGGCAAAGCTTGGCATCTCTTTTAAATCATCTTGTGCAGGAGTTTTTGTCTCACCCTGGAGAGGCAAGCTGGGAAACCCAGCTGCATCCAGTTCAAACCAGCTGCAAAAGACCCCATCTTCCCTCTGAAATGCCTCAATTAAAGGCAGGTAACAGGAATCATCTGGGGCCCACAGGGATTTGAAGGGGACTGTAGGCCTGCCTGTACAGTGATGTTGCTGCCACTGTGTGCTCTTCAGTGTGTCTTTGTGTCAATCTGTGGGCTGGGTCTTGAGTTGCTTTTTCTCCAAACCATGAACCAGGGCCAAAGGCAGCAGCTTGGTCAAAAACACTCTTTTGTGGCCATAGTCAGCAAGTCCCTAAAGGGAGTAAAAACATGCTGGTCAGTCTGACAACTGTGGGACAAACCAGATTCAAATACCTGATCAGGGCTGCATCCCTCTGCCCTGTTGTCTAAAGGGCAATGGGATAAGCAGGTTTTAAAATCCTTAAAACATTGTCCCTATTCTCCTTTCCTGCTCCAGTGCTGCTTGGCCTAATCTGCACCAAACCCAGCAGAGATATGAAGCCCAGGGTGGATGGGAGGCGGCTTTGGACATAACCTGAGTCAGAAGGAGCCTTCTCTAAAGCTAGGTGAGACACAGCAGGAA